CTCAGTTGATGCTTCAGTCCTTGTCCTGTCACTTGTGTCAAGTCTTGCCCGAGTACAAGAAGGCTCTTGTAAAACAGCTGTCCAGAAATCTGGGTAAAGACCTGAACGACATGGGTGTCGAGGAGCTCTTTTCCTTGCTTTTTAAGGAGCCTTTAAGCACTGTAGCTGACCCTGGAAGAAACATGCTCATGGTGATAGATGGCTTGGACGAAAGTGAGTACCAAGAACGCAACGAACTGCTTGACGTTATTGCAAACCACCTTTACAAGCTTCCATTTTGGATGCGATTCCTTTGTACGACCCGACCAGAGAAGAACATTGCAGAAGCATTAAAGCATTTGAAGCCGTTTCAGCTGGAGTCAAATGATGAAATGAATTTAGAAGATATTAAGCAATATTTTAACAAGCGGCTTGAAAATGTTACAAAACCAGGATGTCTCGGAAACCTTGTGGAAAAACTAGCAGAAAGGTGCGAAGGGCTCATGCTGTATGCCTATTTCCTTTTTTCATTTATTGAAGAGAACGTATTAGTTCTAGACCAAGGAGATCTTGATCGCAGCTTACCGTTAGCAATTTCCTCGATCTACCATTCCTATTTTAAACGAGTGGAGAATGAACTTGAGATGCTACTCGTCAAGAAAAGGAATTTTCTAAATTTGCTTTCTGCTGTTACCGCATCAATTGAGCCCTTGCCGATTGGCTTTGTTTCTGAAGTCTTAGAAATACGACCTAACTCACCACTTGCAAGGCGTAAAGGCCAAAAAGCTATTGGCTGTTTGTCCTCGCTTCTTCCCATTCGTGATGGATGTCTTCACATCATTCACAAGTCAGTTAAAGATTGGTTGACTGACGCATCTTTTTATGGGGAGCATGACTTCATTATGTACGAGAAAGAAGGCCACCGAATTCTTGCAAGCCTCTGTGCTAAAGAACTTGTTGATTTGAAGCAGAAAGGTGTGCTTCACCGACAGTTTACCCCCACTGAGAAGTATGCGCTACATCACGGTGTAAAACACATGTTGCTGATAGACGAGGAAATAAAATCACATAGCCTGAAGGAATGTGTAAAAACATACGTACTAGACTTAGAGCTTTTGTATGCAAAGCTCTGTTTGAACGATTCAGCAACAGCTGAAGACATTCTATGGCTTCAGAAGCAGGAAATGTTCCCCATGCTGTCTGAAGATAGTCAAGATATGTTGCACACTTTGTTGTTTCTGTTACGAAAGTATTTCGCCACATTTACAGACCATCCCCACGTACTTTTCCAAACCGTGCTGAATGAGGGAGGATCAGTTCTGTCTCCTATGGCATCGGATCTGTTGCAGAACAAGTATCCTGAATTACCATATATGGAACTGGTCCAGAAGCAGATGCAGCAGGGGTCCGTTCTAGCCCGATTTCGATGCTCCTCTCCAGTGGCTTGTTTTGATGTGTCTCCTGAGTTAGACTACATGGTGTGTGAATGTGACGACGGAACGATTCATATGTGGTCACTCCATACTGGTAAGCTTGTATGGGCACGTCCTGTGATAGTGAAGAAACTGCACTTCGGGAATGGAGCATACAGAATGTCACCATCCTCTCCTGGCGTCCTGTCGTTTTACCGCTCAGTAGTTTTTCATCCCACCGAGGAAGTGGTTTTACCAGGAGTCCTTAGCCATGCCTATGACTTCAACGGAGATCTGAAACCCCTTTTTCCCGAAAGTAAATGCAGTTTCACTGTTTGCTCGATTTCAGGAGACAAGACCACCATGCTATCTGACTGCCCTGACAATCCTAAATGCATTATTATGTGGAGTCTCAGGAATGGTTCCGAGATTATTCGTACCACAAGAAAGGACGATGTTTTATCTTTTGCATGGTCACGAGATGAAAAGATGCTGGCAATTTCTCATTGTATGGGTTCAGTTTGCTTGGTTGATGTGACATATGGCTTTAGAACACTGGCACAAACGGCTCTGCCAGAAAGTTGTGGGATGATAAAGTTCGCACCTAACTGTCAATCTCTTTTTTGCTTTGGTGGAACGCATCTCCTTAATCACCTCGTCTGTTTGAATATCAATATGGCGAAACATCCCAGCTGTAGTTTAGATGTTTGTATTAAATCGTATGTTCCCTGGAAATTGGAATCCCGTAGCGAAGCTGGCTTTTTATTGGGAGATCCTCTTTCATCTGTGGATGTGGAATTTGAGTTTGTGCTGAATAAGAAAATAGTATTGAGGAGTTCTCCCGGTAACATTTTCGTAGACATGCTGAATATTGATGAAACGAAGAAAAACCTAAAAGCCGAATTTAACAGGAGCAAAGAAATTGTTTTTTCTTTGAGTGGAGATACTATTTATAATGTCTTCCGTGACGAGGTCAGGGCTTTCGATGTTTCAAGTGGTGAGCTCATCGGCCAAGTTACAGCGAGCGGTGATTATCTCTCAGCGCTAGCTGTGGAAGAAGGCGTTTTAATATTAACAACAACGTATACAACGTATACAATTGAATTGTGGAATGTTGAATTATCCAGGTGCGTCCGAAATTGGACAAATTTAAACCGAATCGGACAATTGATTGGGATATCAGAACAACGAGTGGCATGCGAGGCAGAAAACCAAGTGCTTATCTTGGATACTACTAGCGGAGGCATCGTGTCGACAATCCCCATTGGTGGAAGTCGTTTTCTTGCTTGTAACGGTAAATGTCACCTGTTAACAGCCGGTCGCTTTTCACTTGAGTTGTGGGATGGCAAAACTCTTCTCTGGAAAAACAGAAGACTCTCTTTTGATTATATTTCACAAGCGATTTTCTCTCTTGATGAGCGGTTTGTAGTAGTTAGCAATAAATGCGGCAAAATTCAAGGAACGTATGTCTTGGATGCAGTGTCAGGAAGAGTGGTAAACGATTTAAAACCTAAAGTCAGAATGGTGAATTTCTGTAAATTTATCAGCGAAGAAGAATGCGTTATCAGCTCCGAAGCTGCTTCAGAAGGTCTTCTGCTGTTTAATGTCCAGTCTGGTGACCTGCTGAGTGTAATCGACCTGGAAAGTCCAGTGACCTGTTTAGCAACCTGTCCTCGTAAGCAGCTCGTGGCCATTAACAAAAGTGACTCTAAACATGGATTTAAACTTATCCAGGCTCAGTTACCTCGAAGTTTAGGCAACAGGAAGAACAAAAGGTGATCTGGAAATACACCAATTAGAAATTTTAAAAGTCATTAATTATAAAAGTGTTATACATGTACGTGGGGTGGTGGGTGGTGGGGGGAAGATGAGTTCTGTTCATTATATGGATATTGATGAAACATTCAGATCTGAGACATTTCAGCGTTTTATTCATTTTAAAAGTGGTCACTTGAAATGAAATCATGATTGCCATAGAAAATGTTGAATCTAGTATGACTTACTATATCAAACACGAAAGACCATGTTAGACCACATTTCCAACCACGTAGCGGCAGCGGCGTATTTTTGACGAACTTCGAGGTGTTTGGAAATGAGGTCAAAGACAGTCGTCCGTGTTTTATATATCTTCTCAATCAAAACTAAAATTAAGGAGAAAACGGAGAAATAAAATCGTACAAAACCATGCTAATTAAGGTAAGATATCAAAACACCGTCACGGTCATGATTTCTTTTGTTTACACTTGATGAATTATTAATGAGTTTTGAAGTAACTCTAAAAATGATGCCAAGAGAGATTATTTGAAAAAACACAACACATCATAAGCGAACGTATTTGTCATTTGTTTCAAGTTATTGCTCGCAATTTGAGTTAATCTGCGGATAAATAATCACACGCCTTACGTGGATGTTTTCGTGGAGGATAAAAATACATGTAAAGCTGCTTGGGTTGTCTCTTACCTTTTGTGCTCTCTAGTGGTAATCGGTCACTTTGAAACTAAGATGCCATAACGATGACTAGTTTTTGTATCTTATCAGTTCTTAATAAGCAGAGAATTTTACACTTCTTTTCCCTCACATCTCCCCTTAGTTTTCGTTTTAACTGACAAGACCTGCCATAAAATCGACCTAGTGTTTCATCAAATATCCGAACAACTCAAAGTCCGTCGAAAGACTTCAGCTGCACTTGATGTTTTCAATTATATTCTTGGTGTTTTGGAATGTGATGAGACAATGTGTGTTGTTTCTGATATACTGCCTAAGAATATAAAGAAGTAAGCTCATTGTTCAAAAACTTGTTATCTTTTACAGGATGATCAACATCGGAAATAACAAGAAAATGCGAATACGAGAACGGGAGGTTTGTTATTGTTTAAGCAAATTTTGGAATCTGATAAAGCCTGCGAGCAGGCTCTTCGCCTGGAGCCTGCTCGCAGGCTATCATTAATCTCGGTCAAAAGCTGTAGTCCGTTAGGAGTAAGCTACAAGACCTGGGATCTAGTTAACCTCTGTCTCATAAATTTTGAAAACAATGAATAGAAATTAATGTTCAAATCAGCGGTGTATTTCTACGCAGACAGTGTTTAATTTTTATAGCAAACGAGTGTGACTGCGAGAGTGACGACTTTGAAGGCAATGTAAGCCAGCAATGTTAATAACGCTGAGAACAAGGTCTACTTAACATAAGGTTTTCCTATTTGGGGTTCCTCAATTTAAAACCCCATATTTTGGTCAATTAACGTTGTTTTGAAGAGAATGGCTTAGAAATGTACTAAAATAATCATATACAATGCACGTGGAAAGCTACTGTGCAGATAGGTACTTAGAAACCCTCAGTAGGCGGGCTATTCCGGGACCTTAAGTCGCCCTAACTTTGGCGACTTTAAGTGATTTAAGGTGACATCAAGCGGCTTAAGTAACATTGGCAGAAAAACATTGCGCCTTCATAAAGTATAGGTAAGACTCAGACGCGTGGCAACCTCGTCTCTTTCGATTGAAAGAAACATAGTGCAACTGATCTTATAAAGGCGAGGTGGCAAAGACGAGAGAGGTAATCGAGGTAAGAGGGTTGTTCAATACGCACAAACGGAGTCCAGTGGAATGGCACTCAATCTATTCGTATTCCGCTGCTGAAATGCATCTCATTATGAGGACTTTGAATATTTCCAATGGCTTCAGGCTGAGTAGGGGTGCACTCATCTCGACCATTGGTACCAATACGATTGGTACCAATGGAATGGCACTCGAGCCATTGGTATTCCATTGGTGAAATGCATCTCCCTATAAGGACTTAGAATATTTCCATGCTATACGTTAGAATGGCCCGGTAAAGGTTATAAGTAAAAAATCCATGCATTACAAGACGTGAGAAATAGCTGTTACGGTCTGAAGTCAACTTCATACTTAGCTACACTGCAACGTGCATGACAATGGCTAAGCGAACGAAGTTCCGTCATAAGGCCATGAACTTTACAGTCATTACAAACAGACTAATGATAAACCTTGCTTTGAAATCGATGTAGAATAAATGATCACGTGACGTTCCGCAGAAACACTGATCAAAGACAACAATGGCTCAGTTAAAAAGCAAAATTACGGTGTTTGTATAGTGACGCCTTATATTTGTATAACGTTCAAACGCAAGAAGGTAGCTTTTGTCATATGATCTTTCTTTGTTGCCATTTTCATCCGAAGGTATTGCTCTGCAGATGTCAAGATATTTGTTGTTTCTTTCAATTTAGCCGCACAAAAATCGACGAACAAGACGCCAAAACAAAACAATTCGCTTTCTCAAGCACATTAGCACACGCGCACATTAGCCCGATTAACACATCTGGGACTCCGGGACATCCATACATCCAATTTGCATTCTGTAGCCTTGTCATAGATGTTACGTTGACCCTGAACCCAGTATCAGATTCAGAACAAACCGACAAAAGTTTCTGTTACAAATTGGGTCAAAAGTAATTATGACAATTATGAACCGAAACATTCTGAACAAGAGATGAAAACAACTTCTGGAAGAATGCTGCTGAATTTTGCCCGCTTGCCACTCAAATTGAATCAAGACAAGACTAAACTTGTTTTCATCAGCTCAAGATATCGTCCTAGGCCCGCTTTAGAGTCTCTTCAAATTGGCAACGTGACGGTCGCGTTTTACCATCGTCCTCGGCACGTAATCTTGGTGTTATTTTTGACAATTGTTTTAACCTTGGGGAACACATAAAATCAATTTGAAAGTCCTCCCATTATCTCACAAAGAATATCGCCAAAATTATAAGGCATATTGGTGAAGAGAGTTGCGAAATTGTCGTTCATGCCTGTATTACATCAAAATTAGATGACTGCAACTCACTACTATATGGTCTTCCTCAGCATCTACTTCCAAGCTTACAATCCGTTCAAAATGTACAGCTCGAATTGTTACACATATTAGTATGTGTAATCAAATGGTGACGGGTGAAATTAGGAAATAATTTCACTTGCGTTTTGTCAAAATTCTGATAATTTAAGGCGAGGGAAATTATCAGAATTTTGACAAAACGCAAGTGAAATTATTTCCTAATTTCACGAGAAAACCATTTGATTACCTTTTAATATCGTGGGTGACAAATTACGCTCACAACCGTAACTTTTCTTCTGACTGGTTTATTCTATCGAAAACCCAGAACGTTAAGAAGAATATAGTTTTAATTTGAAGCATACATTATTGCTAAAGCTCGTAATTTTCTGAGTTTCTTCTCAAAAAGTACCTTTCGAATTCTTTGTGCTTGTTCATGATGTTTCAAAGAGTCTATCTTTTGTCGAGGGTCGAGGGTCGAGGGTCGAGGGTAATGTTTTTTGCTGGGTTTGTTGTTTTACTCCTTGCTGTAGGCTCGGTTTCCGCCGCTTAGTCGAGTCCGGTTTACATGTTCTTTCCCGATTTGGTTAAATGTGGTCTTCTCGATTCAGATATCTTTTTGGGTCCATGTCGAGAGTTTAATAATTTGTCATAGACCTGATTATTTAACCTTCTATATCATTCAAAGTCCGGTTTTTCATTTGACTTCATCACGCTGGATGCTTTGGCCGATGTACTAATGCCATCAACTTTTGAATGGCTATCCGCGTAAACATTAAGCTTTGCAGTTGTAATTGTAATTTCTTCAACAAAAAGATAACACATAGGGATAACAGAATGTGGTTCGCGTTAATATTTGTATTGATAGTGACAATGTTGTGTCAAAGTGCCTC